TTCAGTTCAGCTGAACAGCCTGACCTCTGCCACCGTTGCGTGAGCAGCCTCCTGTTCTCCCTGCCGGGATCTGGGAATGTCGATGTGTTAAAGGCAGCAGTCCATAATTCTGAAACCCATTAGATGCAATTACCTTTCTGTCTGAGACCTGAATCTCTACTGGCCTTGTAGGCTGCAATGTCCAGAAGGGAGGAAAATACTGAAATGCCGTATGGCTGGGTTAGTGTGGAAGTTTGCAAGTTTGTATTTTGGTCAACTGGCCTGGCTAGAGGAAAAAATACTATTAAATTATGGAAGGTATCTGGGAGGTGTTTTAGGTGCTAAATGTAACTCAAAGGAAGGTAGTAAATCTGGTGGCTTGGACTACTTTTTCTTTTTTTTTCAATCCCCCCTTGGGATTTTTAGACCTCTCTGACGGTGTTTGTAGTTGCTGTGTTTGAAGAAAAGTAGAAGGGAGCAGTGTACTTTGACCCTCCTGTTACAAAGACACTGATAAAATTAGAGCCTTAACTAAAGAAGGAATTATTTGCCATTTAGTCCTGGATGGGGATTGCAGCCATAAGCCCACGCCAGACGTACCGCAAGGCTGGGGGCTTCGTCCCCCGTTGGTTTTGCTGTAAGTGATGTGGCTCGGATCGGAGAGCGGTGGATGCTGTCGGCCAGGTCGGACACTGCGGTTCTGGCATGCTGGAGGAAAGCACTTTTGTCTGCCTTAAACATCACCTGTGTCTTAGACACACAAATGCTTTGTAAAAGTCGGGCTATAGGCCATAAAACCATGGGTCAGTTATCACAAAGGGAATCGTTCAGTCGTGGCTTGTTTAGGAAAACTCAGTATCCTTCAGAGTAGCAATTATACGCTTTTTTAATATATATATTTATATTGCTACGTGCACACCCACGAGCTGTAATTTTTAAAGGGTTCTCTTCTCCTTCCAATAAAAACAGCACATGGTTTTCTGCGCTACCTTTGCTCCCCGCGTTCGTGATGGTTTTTTGCTGAGGGTGGGGAGGGTGAAGAACCTGACGCAGCCCTGGAACAGGCTGGCCGGCTGCCACCCACCTGGGTAATCCCTGCGGATACTTTCTTCCCAAGCTTTTGAGGCTGTTGAAGACAAATCTGTAGAGTTAAGATAGTAAAGTATGCCATTTAAGAGCGTAATTAAGAATAGTTTGCATGAAACGCGTAGCATATAGGCCATAAATCCGACAATTAGAGCGGTCTTAAAGTTTTAAGAAGCCAACAAAATGAGGGAACTAAGGCTACTGCGGGTTTGGGTTTTTTTAGCTGTTCCATTTTTAGCTGTATGAAAGGCTTGCGTTGTCTAATCTCAGCAGCAATCTCATTAATGGTAATGGATCAAATATTTTCACATAGCTCATTAACCGTTTCTCCTGGCATAGTCAAATTGCACTGTTGCCGTGATAAAAGTGCGGGTGAATGACTTGAACACGGTTGTTTCGCTGCTTCGGTGCGCTGAGGTTTCGGCAGGGACGTGCACATGGGATTTCCAGATCGCTCCTTTGCTCGCGAGGGTTTTGAATGCTTGCAACCAGCCGGAGCCTCGGTGCGGTCGTGTAAAATTAAATAGCAAATCAAATAAACAGTTTTTACACAAAGGAAGCAAGGTCCTTATATGGACCTGAAATATTTGAGTACCTCCGAAGTATTTATCAACACTGGCATGAGGGAAAGAAGCATTACCTATTCTAGGCTTGTGGGTGGAAATGGCAGGCAAGATTTTGACAAAGAAAGCTGAAGGAAGGAGTGCGTAGCCTTGAAAATTCAATGTGCATCTTCCGAGTCCTAGTCCAGTGACTAAACCAAGACGTCAAGCCCTAAGAAGCCTTAATTCTCTTCTTTCCTTATTTCTTTCCTTTCTTTTTCCCCAAGTCCTTTGGCATAGGTCACATGTCGGGAGCGAGGACAGGGCTGCCTGGGGAGTGCAGCATCACCGGTGACTTCTGATGGCGCGGGAAAGCGTGCCGAGGGATGACGGTAACGGAGCCAGAGCTTAGTTCGCCTTGCCAAGGGTGAACCCTTCTGCTGGACAAGGACCTTTTCTAACGGCGGAGCAGAGGTCTTCTTGTCATGCTGGCGGCATGGAAACTTGGTTTTCTGGCTTGATATATTTAAGGAGGTAGCTCTTCAAGATGGGAGAAATTCAGTTTATATGGTGTTCTCTTGGCACGTAGGTGAAATTGGTGTCTTTGGCGGCAGAGGATGTAAGAGCCATAGGTCACAGTAGCGGCGTGGATATGAAGATGAAAAACGTATGGCTCTGTGTCCTGCCAGGTGGTGGTTATAATGGGCAGGGGTAGTAATCAGGGGACCTAAATTCAATGCATCCGCTAGCATTCAAACGTAATTATGAGCCGAGAGAAATCACCGAGAGGTGATGGAAACATGCATATAACTGGCAGAAATCACAAAGTACCAAGTAGCTGCTCCTTTCTTAATCTTCCTTTAAGTGGGCGATTCCTGCAGCAAAGTAACTGAAGATGACATTGCTTTTGGGACGGCCGAAGGCTCTGACTGCTGCCATAAAAGTGAGTGGTAAATCCCGTGGGAAGCTGTATTGCTGTGCTTTCAAGTGTGGAAGGAGAAGCAGCAGTTCGTGTGGATGACTTTTGCGGGAAGATGGGAAGGAAGGTCGTATTGAGTGGCTCTGACTTCAGAAGAAACCTAAAAATAAGTCCAGAAAGGATGCTTGGGGAACAGGAGAAGTACATAGAAACATATAGTTGTCTGTCTTTTTTCTTGATCTGTTAATTGCTAATGCTTATAGGCCGTATGGGAAAGGTACAGAGAAGAAAACAAAAATTGTTTTGGATGGAAGCAGCTCAATTTTTGCACAGTAGGAAATTAGCTAAAGTATTCTGCTTAATGCTGAGTATCAGGAAGCCAAGAGATTAAAGTTGCCACTGGTAAAATCTATGAAAGGTAACTGGGTCTAATTATAGATGAGCTTGCCCAGTTTCCTGTAGCAGGATGCTGCTTTAAGGACTCAAGAGCAAAAATATTCTTAAAAACGTTGTTTCTCCGTTCCGTGAATGCCTTGTGTGTGTCGGCTGTGGTACGGGCCACATATCAGTATGCTGAAAGGCTTTTTGTCAGCCAGTGTGAAGTCCTCGGAGCAATAGGGGATGAACCTTAAGCATCTGCATACTGCTTTCATCGTGTAGGTCCGGTGAGAAAGTTGTTGTATCCATCAAATAAAGCCAGCGAAGGGAAAATAGCAGCATGTGTTTTCTGAGGTCTGTCTAGCAGCAGAAGAGATTAGCTGATCCCAGGTGCCTCTGCCCAGAAGATGCTCATTGCATCCCTTGGTCTGTCCTCACAACTGCCTTCAGGTAGGGTCCGTCTGGCTGCTGGCTTAGGTGTTAAATAAAATCTGGTGGTATTAGAGAAAGGGGAACTCAGATTTCGAGTATTAGCACTTGGATTACAAAAGGGTTGCAAAAATAATGTCTGAAGAAAAGAGGCAGTTTTACCTGGTGCAGGATGAAGAAAGCTACCGTTGCTTGTAATTTTGGGTAGAAAGGACCCGTTCTCTTGTGTTGCACAGGATGCTGGGAAAATGTCCGGATACAGAGCTTTCCTCAAGGAGGAATTAAAAAAAAATCCCTAAAAGATGATACTGTCATTTTGAAAGGCCTCCTCTTGGAGTCCTCTACGGGTTGAGCTTCCTCCTCCCGGTGAGCTCACCTGGTGGCCTGGAGACGGACAATTCCGGGGCAATTTTATTTAAAGGTCCTTTTTCATAGCCCCTGTTAATGTTCCTAGTTTTGCCCAGGTTTGAGTGCCCTGCGGCACCTTTGTGGGCACTGGTGGGTGTCTCAGCAGCTCTGCAGCGAACAGTGCCGTGGTTGTGCGTGGTTGACATCTGACCGTGCCATGGTGACCTCCTTGTGAGGGCATCACGGCCGTCAGCGCTGCTCCTGGGCAGTCGCTGGGTTAATCGATGTCTTAACACATGATGGGTTGCACCGAGCTGGGACTCAGTGGCAGCATGAGGACAGAAAAGCTAATTTGGCTATTTCCCAGCAGCTCTGCGGTGGGGACAACCTGTTTTAGCTTGGAGTCTGTTGCATGTCCCATGCAAAGTGCACAACTTTTGCTTATATCCCACAGTGGCTTTTCTCCTCCCAAATGAACCCCTCCCTGGTGATGTCCCCAGCAGATGGAGGAGCAACTGCTCTGTGGAAGGGCTATGGCAGGAGGCCTGGGGGAGCAGAGCATCCTGCTGCAGGGACTCTTTTGACCCCTTGCAATGGGCACCTGGATTATCCTGAAATCTCAGGTGCTTCCAGAACAGCTTCTTGGGAGGTTATGATGTGCCGCCTTTGAAAGCCCCTTGAAATGCTGGTGGAGCTGTTTTTGGGACATGGTGTGGTCCTGATGACCTGAGCTGAGATGGTTCCAGTCTCCTTTCATCTGCGGTACGAGCTGGAGCCACACTTGTGGGTTTTTGTTTTTTTCTTTCCCATAAGGCTGTCCCAGTTGCAGAGGAATCTGAGTGTCGTCTTCCAAAGCCCACTGCACTAATTTCATCACAAAAACCTTAAAACACTTTGTTTGTGGGTTATTTGAGCTCCACGTGTTCTTCCAACACTTCTGTCATGGAGACCTGATGCCCCAATGCATCCCCTGTGGGTGGTGGCTTTGGGGTACTGCCTGGCTCACCCCACTTTCTTGGTCCCTGTACCCAACTGCATGAGGTAAAGAGCGTCTGGGACCATGGGTTGTTTGATCTGTGCGTTGACATCTGGAAACTCAATGGGCTCATTCTTTGCTCTTTGACGGGTCTCTTTCCTACGGTGGCTTGAGTGGTCAAGGCCATCCGTCATGGAGGTGGACTTCCATCCTGGGCAGGAGCTCTGCGCTGGGGCCAGACCAGTGCTCTCTAAATACCGCCCTCAAGAAAACAAGCTCTGATGAGACTGTGTGATGCTGACAAAAGGATTTATTTTTGTTTTGTTACCATTGCAGTGACAGCTATATTGTGCGAGTCAAAGCTGTGGTTATGACCCGAGATGACTCCAGTGGGGGATGGTTGCCGCAAGAAGGAGGCGGTCTCAGTAGAGTTGGCGTCTGCAAGGTCACGTACCCGGAGGGCAATGGAAGAAGTGGATTTCTAATCCATGGTGAAAGGCAGAAAGACAAACTGGTAATAGACCCTAATTCAACTTTTGTCTGTTCTTATAATGAGAATTAGCCCAAATCTATTGCTATTGTATTCTTGTGCAAGTTGCTTTTTTTTTTTTTTTTTTAAAAAACCATAAAACCCAGGCGTGTGCACATAGTACCAGATCGGACAAAACAAACCCATTCTGATCTGAATTGCCATCTTTTGCTATCTAGGTTGGCGTGCTGCCACCTGGAAGAAGCAGGTAAATTTTCAGCATCCATATGCAAAGACCTGCTTTGATGGTTGAAAAAGGTCCCGTGTGGGGGTTTTTTTTTGTTGTGTTTTGGTTTTTTTCTAAGACATAGCAGGGGTGAGAGAGAAGTGAATTGAAGTGTAAAGAACCCATGAAGCCAGTCACATTGCACTGAGTAATGCAGTGCAAGCCTTTAAAACGGCCATGAATTATTTATGCTGCGTGCTGTTCAGGGTTTGAGCAAGCAGAGTGAGAATATGAAGACAAGTTGTCTCTTATGAATTGATGCACTCAGTTTCTCCTGGTGGCTGTTTATCTAAAAAGGAGCTCTCTCCTTTCCCCACACAAATCAAACTAGTAAAGCCTTTTCCGTATTTCCAGGGTCCGTTTCAGATGTTATAATTGGTTATCTGGAGTCTACATGTTTGGTTCTTCCAAATTTCACTCCTGTGAAGAGATGGGCTAGCTTAAAAATAACGCTGGGCTGAAATAGGCTCCTGGGGTAGGGAGCAAGTGCCTACTCAAAGCACAGGCAAAAGATGAATGTGCATTGGTGATGAGCACAGTTACAGTGTCTGGGGTTTATTAGCCATCGTTTGGTAGGGAAGGATGTGCCCCTCCGTGAGGCATGACTTGGCTTGCGTTTGGGTCCGGGCTGAGACGGACGGTGTCGGCTGTGTCCTTGGGGTGGGAAAAGTGACTTTGCTCCTCTTTTGGGGCTCGCGCCCTCCCAGGTGGTACTGGAGTGCTTTGTGAAGAAGGACCTGGTGTACACGAAGGCGAACCCCACCTTCCACCACTGGAAAGTCGACAACAGAAAGTTCGGGCTCACTTTTCAAAGCCCCGCCGACGCTCGAGCCTTCGACAGAGGAGTGAGGAAAGCCATCGAGGACCTCATCGAAGGTACCGTGGTGGCCACTTCCACCCTTGGAAGAGTGGGGAAGGGGGTTTGAGTCACAGACCCGGGAAGAGGGATGGGTTTAAATTCCATTCATGGGCTTGGACGTCTCTTGTGCTTACCCTGCGCTGAGCAAGCCCCAGCTTTTAAGAACTGAGTTTTCTCATCCCTGAAGGAGAGAAGGGATTTCAGTCCAAGTATTTTCCAGTCCTATCTGGCCTGGTCTGTCCAGACTTCCCCCCTCTTAATTATCATTGACTCTGTTATTACTGCTTTTTTTTTTTGATAGGCTTGGGCTTCACGCTAGCGATGGCAGCTCAAACAGCCCAGGCTGTTCTTTATATGCTGCCGAATCTCGTCTTACTGAGTCTTTGTTAAATCGGAGTATGAATTCCTGCCTGGAGTCGAATAAAACTTTGTTTTGTTCTTGGTTTTTTGCAGTAATTAGTTTTGTCTGCGTCCCCTTAGTTGAATGGTAGTTTTTGAAGGCTTTGTTGTGTTTTTGTTTGTTTTTTAATTCTGCAAAAAATGTGTTTGAATTGCCTGTGCTTTGAAGTTCTCATAAATTTTTCCTTTTCACATTTCATTGCAATCAGGCAATTGTAATGCAGCTATAATTCAATAGTACTTTGTTTTATTGGCATTTGATTCTTCATGGGTTTTTTGCTTGCTTTTTTTTTAACCACGCCACTTTATGTAGGGACTTAGTGGCCTTTCTCCTCCTCAGCCAATATGACCAGGATATTTTTATATACAGAAGACATTATTTTTTGAGGATACTAGCTCACATATGTATACAGATGTGTATTCTTTTTGAGTACATCAGCTCCCTAAGACAGCTTTATGTTCTGGATACCCTGTCCTTGCTTTAACATAGAATTTGTAGATACTGGGAGAGAATTAATCCCCCAGGGCTCTTTCCTGGTAAATACCTCATCAGTTAGAGGAAGAGTCTTCTCTACTAGTTTATCATTTGCTTTTTCAGGTGCCATTAACGTGAAGTCACAGCTAGGCCTTCTGCTTTCTTCTTGCTTGCTAAAACTGGGAAGCATTTTGGGTCATAAAAGTGATGTTTCATGTAAGTGGCACAGGACTTGTGCCAAGTTTCAAGGAGTTGATAGCTCAGCTGTGTTGAGTAGTATTTTGGAGATGCAGGTACGTGGCAACTCCCGTTCTGCTCTTTCTGATCCATTTTACAGGGGAGAGATTTGAAATCAAGTTCTGCTGTATCTCAGATACTTCAAAATCAGCAAATCTATATTTATCCCATTAACAGCACAGACTGATCCTCATGAATGTGTTCCTCCTTAACTTCCAAATAAGGCTTTCTGAATGAAAACCAGTAACTGGCTCGGGCACACACAGCGTTGGGCAGTGGATTTCATTTATCGTTCATTTTTTGTTCACGTAGTTGATCAAATATAGCAGGTAATATTAAGCACAATGAACTACGTGCATTTGAAACTTCATTAAATCGCTGCTTTATTATTAATGTTTAACTGATAGCTTGTTCCCTGTAGCATCAGAAGTATACAAGTTTTGTGCACAAGTACAGGAAATCTGTGCAGCTCTGCAGACCGTCTGGATTTTTTCACTTTTAAAGCTAATGTAGCAAATGGCTCAAATGTTTTCACGTTACTTAGTGTTTTAAGTGGGCTTTCGCACTTAGCTCTGCACACATCTTCGTGATGATGCAAATGAGAGCAGCCGAGGCTGGTGTGCATAGCGTTATATAAAGCACATTATTTTAAAAATTTCCAGAATGAAGATGGTACAAACCGTTCAACTATTTTAGTTAGGGATGTGATGTGACCCTAATTCAGTATAACGGTGGGCTTACATTAAAAAAAAAAAAAAGCCTTTGCCTTGAGGCTTCTCCCCCATCAGAGCATCTTTCTGCGCCCACCCTCCTTGGCAGCCTTGTGGGGGGCAAAACCAGCCGGGACAGGGGTCCGGGACCCTTGGCCGGGGGTACGAAGAGGGATCACCCCCTTTGAGCCACAGCACAGGTTTACTGCCAAGGCCAGCGATGGTGTGTGCCGCTGCCCTGCGGCCATGTGGGTGCTGAGCAGGCTCTCCAGCGGCTCTGGAGGGGTCACCCGCAGGGTGGGCAAAAAGGTTGGAGGAAGGGGGGGTTTTAATATGATTTCCCACTTTCTTTAGGTGATTGCCAAGTAATTAATAAGAACTGCATCCCAGTATTTTGCGCTTGTCTATAGTTTTACAGATTTCAGCTCCTTTTAAATACTTTGCTCACATGGGGCAAGGTGTTTCTCTGAGAAACAGCTGATAATGGAGAAGACTTTTACAATATCTTAACAAATTCCAAAATTAGAAGAGGAGAAAAACCTAGCCTAACTCTTCATTGTCAAAGTGAGGTTTTGCGTGTGGTTGTTTGGTTTTTTTTTTTAAAATAAAGAGTAATTTTCCCCCCAGATTTAGGGGGGGAATAACATGAAGCGTAACTCCTATATGGTTTCTTGACAGCTGAGGATCTAGTCGCAAGCACTGATTAGTATGTAGCTTTACCATTTTTCAGAAATGAAAGTCTTCTGTAATTGGAAATGGTAACTGCTATTTTTAACGTAGGCAATTAGCATTGGCAGCCATGCAGTTGCATGTCAAGAAACACTTTCTCAGATTTTACCTTTCCAACCCAGCTAGCAGTAGATGAGTTTTTCTTCCTTAATTTGAGCCACTCTTTTACACACCTACAACATACAAACTTGTGAGAATCCAAATGGTTACCAGCCTAATAAAAAAACCCAAAAGTTGCATAGAAATGTCATGTGTTTAAAAAGCTGCTGTTGTTTTGGGTTTTTTTAGGATCTACAACTTCCTCGTCAACACTTCACAACGAGGCTGAGGTCGGCGATGATGATGTCTTCACTGTAAGTACACGTCGCCCAAGATTGTTTTCCTTTATGCTCTGTTTTACATGGTCAAGTTGGAAAGGGTTTTTCTTTTTATGCCTCGAGGTTGGATTCCAGCTGTCATCGTGTTTGGCTAGTGGGCGTGTTTTATTTGGTGGAAGTGTATCCTCTACAGAACACAAAGCGTTGGGCTTCTGTTGGCCACCCGTCGCCATGGGAAAAGCATGGCAGAGCAGATGTTGTCAGGGCTAGAAGCGAGGAAATAATCAATCTCAAATTTCCTATGGCTTAGTCTGAGTGGAGTACACACCTCTTAATGCCTCTCTCTCTGTCCTTGAGAAGCTTCCCGCAAACTCAAGAGCATGGCTGGCACTCAGGTACATACTCGAGGAAATAAGATTTTGAATTGCAGTTGTTAACAAAAGCCAACTTTAAAGGTGTTTCACCTATGCATGAAACATAGAAAGTTCAAACAAGTGTTTTTTTCAGCTGGAGGAAGGCGCAGTAGTATCTCATCTATCTACCTAACCAGTGATGACTTAAAAAGGAGTGAGTTGCTCGTATTTAATTCATGGTAATGTGTAAAGCTTTCCTGAAACAGAAGAAGCTACTGTCCCCACTACACTTGCACACTTTAAAGGGGAGGGGGATAAAATTATTTCAGATGAAATTGTAATTTGTTCACAGATATTCTATGGGCTGAAAACAAGATGCTTACAACAAAATCTTTGTCTTACTAAATTTATTTGCCCAGCTCCGATCGCAACCCCCCACGCACACACATATGTGCTTTGGTTATTATAAATGCCCTCCTTGTCCTGTGTCACAGGTGGGGACTGGAGGGCAGGAGGGTGGAAGGTGGGATGTCCTCAGCGCAGCAGCAGCAGCAAACTCAAAGTCATCTTTGGGCTACTTCCCTGCATATTCAGGGTGAACGAGGAGAAACTGAGGAACAGGCATCAAGCTGTTTCAGCACCAGGAAGCACCCAAAACAGAAAGGTGTTTGTCAGGGTGATGTTTTGCTGGCGTGGGACCAGGGCAGGTTCCCTGCCGCGTTTTGACCAGCTCTTCCTGACGGCTGGCACGTTGTCCGCATCTGTCCTTTTGTCACGGCTCTGGCAGACAAACAACAGCAGGCAGGGTTAAAAGGTGATTTCCTGCGCTCCGCAGCAAAACTATCATTAGCAGCTGCTTCCCAACTACCTGCCAGAAGTGATTTATAGGCACAGGGATGGGATGGGATGGGGCCGGGGGGGAGGCACCACTGGGGCCAGGGCGGTTTACCGATTTGTGCTGGTTTGTCCCCAAATTCGCCGGGTGAGCCATGCTGTGCTGGGGATGGGTGGTCGTGCTGGACGTGTGAGTGGCTCTTCTGTGCTCAGCAGGAAAAACCGTCGAAATGTGCCTTGGGCAGGTGTGTGCCAGCTCTCACTGGGTGAGACGTGGAAATACTCAGTGTTAAAACAGTGAAAAGTAGTCTGTGGAAATAGGAAAGGAGATTTTTGCTAAAAATCCAACCAGCTAATGTTTAGAGACCTGGGAGTGCTCCTGAATTTTTCCACAAGCTCAATCTTGTGGTTGAGTGTTGATTTTTTTAAACTTGTAGGGTGCTTTTTACCAGGAGGAAGAGGTTGTTGCCTGTAAGTAGGTGTTGCTTTACATTGGGAAAGTTGGATGAACGGTGCTCCAGCTGCATCAAAATCACTCAAACTCCTGCATTCAAAGTGAAGAGGCAAAGCTGCGAGAGATTTCCCCCCTACTTGACCCCGGGGAGGTGGTAGATAACCCCCCGCCGTGCAGATGTTTATGGGTAGGATGCTTGGCGGAGAAGGAGGAACAAACTACTCGATAGCGTTAGCGAGGAGGGAAACCTCCGCTGCGGTCAACACCTTGTTGGGATCCACGGGGACGTTGGCACCTTGAGTTGTGCCCTGCCTGGCAGCTCTCGCCTCCAGAGAGTGAGAGGGGCTTCCCCGATGCTCATGGCTCGCGTGGTGCTGTTGGTCAAGCTGTCACATCAGGGCGGGTGTGTTGTCATACTCCAAAAATAAGGCTTTAGGAGCATCTTTTTCCCTGATATTTCTTCTTTGCTTTCCTAGGATTCATCTCTCCTTTTCCTGCAGTCCTTAAGGTGTTTGAAGCTCTCAGCTTCCCGTTTGTCTGGTTAGGTGATGGTGGAGTACGAAGTCTGCATAAGCCAGAAATAACAGGCTGAAGTGTGGAGGGGTTTTAGACTGGAAGAAAGTGGTAGGGCTGTGATATGTTTTATTTTTACCCTTCTGTTTCATTCTTTCTTTGCACTTTTTTGACTTGTGTATCATAGTCCATTTGGTCATCCTTGCACAGAAAACTTTACAACTTTCCTGTAAACTTTTCCCCAGCCACAGCAGTGGATTTTTTGGGTTTAGGTTTTTTTTTTTTTTGCTCTGTTTTAAAGAGAAAGTACATTTGTTCTTTTTTATTTCCTAAGGTAGTTATTAAAATCTTCACAGTCCTCCCCCTCTCCCACACATGCATGAATAAACTTAACTGTGTGCGGCAGAATTTTCAAAAGCATCTGCATGATTGAGTCATTTAATCAGTCATTTGCCTGACTCTGAAAATCCCAGCCGTCCCTGCTACGCTGCTGCCTCAAGTATTTGGCCTGAGGTCCTGCCTCTCCTTGAAGATGTTTCAATCTGTTCAACCACAGCGGTCCAAAACTTCACATTTCTTAACGCTGCTTTGCAGACGGCCACTCCAGCTTTATCTCGCACGGCAGCACTGGTGTTTGCACCAATGTAATGGTCCCGGCTTTAAAGCAACCACCCTCATTGCATGTAAGCACTGACCCTGATGGATATTGATCAATGCAGGGCCCTTATACTGTCCGTGATCCTGTTAGCTTCAATACCGCTCTGCGGGATGATGACTTTGTGCGTATTTTTGTGCGTGTAACTTGTACATCATCCATTTCGTTTATTCGTCAGCCAGCACGCCACCCTTCCAGGCATCCAGCAAGTTGTTTTCATGGGGAAGAGAAGGTTTGCCCCGGAGGTAGAGCTTTCCCTCAGGCTATGATCTTGCATGGCTTAATGGAGGATCATTTTCTTGTACCAGGAGGTGGGTTTTCTGTTTCTAAGGGGATGAATTATCTGCAGCTGTGGCTGCATGAGCATTTGCTTGGGAAGCATCACTGGTGTCGGTAGCCTTATCTCTTCCCGTCACCGTAATGTGCAGCACCAAGGCAGTAACTTGGGCAGCAGTACTTTGCCCTGTCCCTACAGCGCGTGCTCCCCATCCGTCGTCCTGAAGGATGGGATTTATCTTTAAAAACAGGACTTTACCATCTCATCATTTTCCTGTGGATTTAGACCTACAGCAATGAGAGGAATTGATACAAACCCCTGTTCAGAAATTCATACCTGACAGGGCAGAAAGCAAAAGTATATAGAAATAAATGTCACTGACTTGAGGGGAAAAATGCTTATTTCTAAAACGAAATCTCCATTTAGAAGTTTTAACAATATGTAGTTGTGTTTCTTTAATTCCAGATCCTCGGTAGAGCCCATAAATGTTTTCCATATGTTAGCAAATAAATTTCTCCTGTCTTGTGCATTATAAATCGTCCTCTCAAGAGATGCAATCTGAGTAAGACTAGCCATCCGTTCTGTCTCCGTTGGGGGAAACACTGTCATTGCAGCGGTCTGAGATTTGTTCTGTTTGTCTTCATCCATCCCGCCTGCATCTTCAGCCTTCTTTAATTAACAGTCATTTCAGAACTAACGTTTCATAAGGACTGAATATATTCTGTAGTTCCTCAGCCACAGAATGTGCCATATAATTGAGTTCTTGTGCAAAATTTTTCCCTTAATCTACGCTTTTACTTTCAATTATACATAATAATCCCACATGACCATGAAGTGAAAAAATGTGAATTGAGTCCAAGCAAAGAAAGGTCAACGTCTTCCAGAGTCTGCAGAGTGCCTGAAATGGTCTCTTTTAGCAACCCATCTGAAAAAGCAGAGGTGTTTATTCCAAAACCTTATGACCAGTTCAACTGAAACGCCACTCATATGTTTTTCAGATAAATCCGCAGCCTTGTGCCTGCTTAATGCTAAAGAAAAGACACCGACTGGCAAGAGGAGCAACAGCTCCTGTGTCAGTTCTGGTTTCTGAACCTAAAAATGACTGCAGTCGCCTTCTGGGTTAACGGGAACATAAGGGAGAAAACAACAAAACTCAAGCTTTTGCTAAGTTTAATATGCATGTTACAATTATAGCTGTATTTGATGTAATCAGCTGTAATTTTTCAAAAGTCCTAGTTTTTGTCTAAACTGAGACTTGCAGAATTTTGCAGGCAGAGCAGTCATGATCTGGAGGTGCACGGCTGAGCTACAGGGGTGCGTTTCAAGACACCTGGACTCGATCCGTTCCTCCTCTTGCGGACTCCTGGCTGACAGCTTGTTTACCTTGAGTCCCCAGCTACAAGATGGGGAAAATACTCTCCTGCATCACTAAGGTGATGAGGACAGATCTTGCTGCCACCACCACTTTTCTTCTTGGGCTTCCAGCAGACGTCGTCAGACTCCTGTTTTCACCACGAAGTTCCGTGTTTGGAGCGATCCTGTGCCCCTCCTGCCTTTTTCTCAGCAGGATACTCCTGTGCTCAGGGATGTTTGAGTTAGGAAGTTTGTCACGTGGCTTGGACGCTGCTGACAGTCGATTAAGAGACAGACACAATTACCCATTCTCCGCCGTAACGGTGCAGATTGAGGCAGATGTTAACGTTACAGTCCTCCTTGCATCTCTTCTGGTTTCCTAATTAAAAAACCAGATTTCTCCCCGCTGCCTTTCCATGAAACCTTTTCCCTACTTTCATCTCCCATGTGGGCCTCAAGCGTGTTACAGCCTTACTGTTAAAATTTATAAGATTTATGTTAGTTAGATAAACACTAAATCTAATTTTTCTTGCTCGCTTGGTCGTTTCGCATTCAGATGGTTCTTTTAAAGAACCACTGTAGCTTTTTTTTCTTTAA